CCCCCGGCAACTGGAGCATACACAAGAATGAAAGCCAAGCCCCAAAGATTGGATCTCATGCTTTCTAATTATACTATCAATTTCCAAACCACAGCTACTAATAACTGGGTGGTATTTTAACACTAAGTGACTAAAGATGAAATTTTGCGGAACATTAAATGAGGTCTCACCACACACAAAAGGACAAAATGAAGACTATGGGTGATGGAGGGACATGTGAAAACACGGTGAGAAGGCAGGTAACTGCAAAACAAGGAGAGAGGCCTCAAAAGAAACCAAACCTGCCAACAACTTGATCTTTGACTTCTGGCCTCCAGTTGTTTCAGCCACCCAGTCTGATATTTTATTATGGCAGCCCTAGCAAGCTAATGTAACTAATATGTCAATCCACATCATGGGAAGAAATAAGTAGTATGATGCAATTAGCATTACTGGTTTTGAAAAAAAACTTACAGGCAGATGAGGGACCGTTCATCTGGCATTGGAATGATGTGGGNAGATGAGGGACCGTTCATCTGGCACTGGAATGATGTGGGACCAGAGAGTACATGTGAAAGAGACTAGGGTTTGAATTAAATAATTTCAGTGAGCCAGTATTAGGGCATAGTTACCCTAAAAGTTAATCTAACTGTGATAGTACTACTACATGCTGCCCCGATCAGAGTAAACCATTATAGGCACCACATTTTAAAAAGGAATGACCAAGGGTTACCAGCATAAACAGTCTACAACCCTATCACATGCATTTCAGCTTAAGGGAAATATAATGTGACGACTCCTGTTTTCTCCCAAGTTAACACAGTCTGGGTTCCAAAACAAAAGGTGCACTCACCAAGCATTTTCTGGCTCTGACTAGTACAGAAAGCTAATGCATGCATTCCGAACATCACAGCACCACAGATGCTCTCTTAACCATGTCTACTAACTATATCTATGGCTGGATTAAATGACAGGCTCAATTCCAAATCAGATTCGCTACCTTGATGCCCACGAAATACCAAAGTTCAAATAAAATATTAACAAATTGAATCAAGCAATATAGTAAAAAATATTGACCAACTATTATTCCTTTTACATAACACTGATATTCAATTTGCTAATATTTTGTTTGAAATTTCCGTATTTGTGCTCATGAGTGGTAATTTTCTTTTCTAAAAATAAACGCTCAGATTTCGGTATCAAGTTTAGGGTGAAACTAGTTGGAAAGTGTTCATAATACCACTTTTTTTTAAAAGAATGTCTTTATTGATTTCTGAGAGAGGAAGGGAGAGGGAGAGATAGATACATCAACTATGAGAGAGTCACTGATCGGCTGCCTCCCTCACACCCCCCACTGGAGATGGAGCCCACAACCTGGGCATGTGCCCTGTCCCGGCATCGAACCTCAAGCTCCTGGATCTTAGGTCGATGCTCAACCGCTGAGCCACACGGCCAGGCTCACAATACCACTTTTAAGATTAAACAGTGCAGTTTAACTGCTTTACTCTGGATTCTAATTGTTGACATTTACAAACTATTCTGCTTCATGCTGTATAAATAATCACCTCATCTCTACTGCCGCTGTCCTTATCATCTGACATCTCATCTTCCCCGCCTTCTGTCTCCTGTGGAGAAAGGCTCATTTTCTTCCGTTAACTATTTTTTCCTGCCTAAATTGGACGAGATTTATTAGGCACCTCCCAGGGCCTTCAACATCCCACGCTATGCACCTCTAGCATTTGCAAGTTTCCATGTGTCATAAATTCGTGCTAGTACTCATCCTAAAGTTATTTCCATTTGGAATCTTTTACTCACACCAGCGAATACCAAAATATACAGAAAAAGGTCATTTTTGGTATATGTTTGTAGGTCACGACTCCCATACTTTCTCTTCTGCCACGGTCTAGAAATGTAAACTCCTAAGAAAGGCAAGCTTCCAGGAATTCCTCCCTTTTCCTCTCAATCTGCTTCACCACGCGTTTTCAAATAACTTTTATTTTTTTAAAAATAGTAATTCCACTACCGACTGCTCAAATGCAAGAACACAGGGCCAAAATGACGGCCTCGTACGGTTAGAAAGCTGGTACCTACACCTCGAGCGCCTTCACCTTCCCGGAGCCAGGACTGAGGGGCCCCTGGCGCGGCTCCCACCGCCCCCCATCGACGTCCACAGCACCGAGGAGCCTGAAGACAGAACCTACCACCTTCCCTGCGCAGGCGAGCCCGGTCTCGTCCCTGACGAGCTCCCCTTTTAAGGCTACGGCGGGGGCAGGGCTCCGCTCGCCCCGAGCCCCGCGGGTCACCTCGCGCCGCCGGCGCCGTCCGGGCGCCCGTGGGGAACTCACA